GAAATCTCCTTACTTTTAAAGATATTGTTTATTTATTTTTACAGATTTCTAGCGGTTTTTATTTTTTCGTTTCGGGGAGTCATTTGATTTTGGAAAAATATAGGCGTTTTTTTGGAAACGCTTTTGTAATTGGCATAGGAGCAAGACGTCTGGATGAAACTCAGGGGAAAGCATGAGCCATTATTTGCTCGTTCAGTTATAATGCATTTATTTAGATGAAGAGAATCGCGGGTCTTCCTGTTAAATGCCTGGCTTCCGAACCTGGACTTGAGTCGAAGAAACATGGCATTTCTGCACGGATGTGACCAGTTGTGTTCACCATCACCTAATCTCCGTAATGCATTTACCTGGTCTCCCCGTCCCACTCACCAAAATGGCTGCAAAGCGTGCCTTTCTCATTAGCTCGACAGATGATCGAGAGCAGCGATGGGTCTGCCCAAACCGGTTTCCCGATGGTACCATTTCATCGAGTAGTCGAATAATATAATTTATGCAAGTGTCTCGAATTAATGCGACTTGTCTCATAACGTCGCATGACAGACGACAGAAAGGGGCCGTTCACAAAAAACTGTAGAGATCCGTCAGAGGCCAACCAGGCGTCAGTCTCGGATTCCTTCACCAACTGCCTCAGGGGTAGGAAAACAATGAAGGGTGAGGTCGAACGGAGACTCAAGTGGCAATCGAGGAGGTTTCCCGGCTTCAGAATGAAATAAGATTATCGATAATCTTAGTCGATGAAATGAGTAATCCGTACTTCTGCAACTTCGAATTCCTGGAACGACATAATTTCTCCACCTCCCGGGAAGTGGAGGACGTATGTCGTCCATTTCATTCTGAAGCCGGGGAACCTCCTCGATTGCCACTTGAGTCTCCGTCCTCACCCTTCTTTGTTTTCCTACCCCTGAGGCAGTTGGTGAAGGAATCCGAGACTGACGCCTTGTTGGGCTCGAACGGATCTCTACAGCTCTTTGTGAACGGCCCCTTTCTGTCGTCTGCCATGAGACGTTTGAACTCAGAATTTCTGCCTTTGCTAGTGGATTATAGTTTAATAAGTTAACAGAGTTAAATGTATCTCTTTTTATTGTGCATTTTCACGAGTGACCATGGCGGACCAGTGCATCGGGATTGAGCTAACCTGTCAGGCTCTCAATGGGACATGCCAGATCTCATTATTTTCCTTTTCTGATGATGAAATGATAGGATAATGAGAATCTGCATTTTCATTTTAGCTGATTTTCGTAATGGAAGAGCAAAGTCCCGGTGGGTCGGATAGGCGATGAGGAAAGTTTGAGGGCGAATCCTTTACTACATTGGTCCCTTGGGTTTTATTGGGAACCGATAAATTCGGCCATATTCAAAGAAGCGCCAAGTTCACAAACCCCTGATGTGATGCAAACTGAGTCCGATGCGGCGCATGCATTTTTTTCGGGAACTCTGTTTAATTCTTCTATGGCTTAACAGCGTGATCCCTGACATAAAAGCGATTTCAGCTGGGGTTTCAAAGTGTTAATGTTTGGTATGTGTACATGCCACAGGGTCTGAAGAGGTTAAACAGAGGACATGCGGCGGACACAAACGTCAACGGACCTATTACAGTATACAGAGAGAAAGGGGATGCCCGCTTGGCACGGGCTCCACATCCGAATCACAATCCCCCAAGCTGGGACACTCCTCGACGGTTCTATAAGAGGCGAAAGGGGCAATTCGCGGGTTGCCAAAGCCCATGACCGCCACGACTCGTTAACGAGGAGTATTGCACCTGTATCTCCTAGAAGTGGCACACAGAGTGGCGTGTGTGTTATCCCACGTGAAGCAGACACTCCCCATGAAAGCAGGTGGGTCGGAAGTGCCCGCCGCCACTCGGACTCGAAGCCAGAACCACTTCGCCAGCGAACCCCAGTGACTTCAGAAGTAACTATTGAGGGAAGTGGCTGAGAAACTGAACGAATTAGAACGGTGTAACGAGGCCACCTGGAGTTCAAGACCCTAATTGGCCATTTGAAGACCCTGATTGCCCTTTTCAAGATCCTAATTGTCGCGTTCAGAGACGTTCGACTTCGTTCCCGCAAAAAGTCTTCAATCCGAAAAGAATTTGGAACAAGTGAAAGAACTTAGCAGATTTATATGCAAGAAACTGGAAGAGAAGGCATGCATATTACGAAAGGAACTCGAACCAAAACTTCCAAATTCTAAAGTAATAAAAAAATATTTGAATCTCGACGTTGGCGACAACCAGGGATTTCCGAGACAAGCAGACAATTAGCTAATGGGAATTCCAATTGTCAGTTTCTCGAGTACATTGCATGCGATTCCCTTCCTTTCTTTTCAAATTTTTTTTGGAACTCCGTGGGCGTCCAGCATGAAAAGGAAGAGCAGCAGAGACTGCACTGAATTCCGAGGAAAGCGGAATCTCGGATCACCCAACCCCGCGGTTTCGGGTTTCCTCGCTCGATTTCCTCCGTCTCGTCCAGAGCAGTGCTGCCAGACCTGGAATGTTTTTCCCGCTGTACGCGCCTCCACTGCTGCCAGATCGGGAATGTGCTCGTCGCCATGAGCTTCGAAGCCCCCCGCTCCCCATCGCTCTCGAATCAAACAGTAGACGCCGCTTGTGACCACTGCTTATTGTTATCGACTGGATAATATGATAAAATCTCGAAAACTAATACCAAATTCTACTTTTTATGCAGGGTGTTCCATAAATTAATTTACCGAGGGATTTTCAGCCATTCTCACTTTAATTGATTTAATTAATGTCATGCAATATTGTTTTTGTTATTAATTGCCATTATTGTTACAACATTTTGTTTTCATTCTAGGTGTAGAAAGACTCACGCTTAAAAACTTATTCCTGACATTTAAATAATAACGAAGTGAACAAGAATTTTGCATCGCTGAAAACCCCTCGGTAAACTGACTTATGGAACACCCTGTATTTCTCCGTGTCACCGCGGCAGGACGTTGCGGTGTGGTGACCACTTTATTTCAGCGGCTACCGAATCGCAGGGGAAATCGAGGGGTATTGACCGCTTTCGCAGTTGAAGGCGATTTGGTGATGAGAACTGAACTTCAAGTTCTCGAGAACTCGAACGAACGATCGTTATCGCCGCCTGTTATGAGACGCCTAATGTTTTAAAGTGATCTTGTCCCTATCTGATTAGAAGCAGTGGGGCTAGTTGCATTTTTAGAGATTCATTAAACTTGTAATGGTTAGAAGCTATTTTTAAATATTTATGAAACTTTATCTACGAGATATAATTAACCTAGGGTCGCCACTCGTTCATAATTAGTATGCACAGTGCATATTTCAGATGCATTGTCCACGCTGCAAACTGGCCTGAATATAGACACTGTTTTGTCCCTATTTTAAACTGGTTAAGGTTAAAAAAAAATAAATAAATATAGCTTTTTAGCAGCTAAAACTGCTCTCCTGCGAAGTCAAAAGCAATAGGCCACACTCTTGTGGTGCTGATTGGCGCCTATATTGGCTTAATGTGGCAATGGGTATTTGCGGCATAGCCACATGCGCAAGTATGCGTTGAATATTTGTCCATTTTTCCATATTTTGTCAGATTAAGTTTGTTAAACGGAAAAGGTGGGAACCCGACGACTCCGTGACTCTCACCTGGGATGCAGAACCTCCCATCGTCTTCCTGTTCAATGCAGTGAAGCAGGATGCACGCAGGAGAACATGAGCGAGACTGACCAGGAAGAGGGATGCATAAGAGCTCTAAGTTGACAAGTCGACTTTACAAGTTGACAGCTCAAAATTTGACAAGTCGACTTTACCGGCTAGCTCGATGAGAAAAGCCTGTTGTCTTGTGACCATTCCTTTATTTTTGTCTTCTAAAGGCGATGTGTTTTTGGAAGAGGAGGGAATTGACAGTTGTGGCTGTCCTTCCTCTATCGCTTCCATGGGAGTGTCGTGTGAGTCCTTGAGGTTTTCATGAGCCCCAGTATTTGTGGAAGTACTAATTTTCGCGCAGCTCCACTTTCAGTTGCAACCGCAAGGATGAGAACGAGATTAGACGATTCTTGCTCTCGAATAGAATGAGGTTATACTTTCGCTCGGGTTGGATGTCGCACATTGGAGAAGGTCGCTCGAGTCGCGAAAATGAATGCCGTCAAAGGATATCTTTATGGCAGATGTGCCCAAGAGATGCGGAAGGGAGAAGCGGACTGGTGGGAGTCCATGCAAGAGTGGCAACTTGCACCAGCGCATTGAAAAGAGTCTTCCTTGGGAGTGGTACCCGCCAACCGCGGTCCTATGACTGTCTGGGTCCGCAAATATGACCCGGTGGATGCCGCGCAGAACTCTATCGGGGAAGGGCCAATCATGCGGCCCCTTGCCCTTCTAGCACGCTTGCGTCCTGGTTAGTGCAGCAGGTTCGCTCAGTAATGTCAGTGCCTTCCACTGCGCACACTGGTGAGTCCCCTCTTCTTTTTTTATTTCTTCCTATCGACCATTTTCCATGCAGCTGCGGCTTAAGGCCCCCTCGCCTTATCGTAGGGCTTCGTCATGTCGCAATGTTTGCCAGTCACGCTGGCGCATGGAAGCACGCCTGAATGATAAGTCAGACTCTCCCTTGTTGCCTTGCGCTTTCGGACTCGACGACCTATCACTTCAATGCTGGCCTGCCTTCCACGAAGCATACGCCCACAGGCTTGTGTTAATCTATGCGTAGACCTCGTACAAATAGTGCATCGTATGCTCAAGGGTATGTTAGGGTACGATTGGTATACCACACATGGTCTCACAGGCCTAGCCTGGGGACTTGCATGCGATAGGCCTAAGCTGTGCTTGGGCTTACTATAAACCTTTCAAGGCTCACATCCTGGTTTATGATCAGATATCGAGCCGAAGCCTAGATGGCTCTGCAATACTAGTGCTAGGAGGTACTTTCAAACCGAAGGAACCTTCGCTTGACTAAGACTAACATAAGGCTGTCCAAGGCACTCTGCGCAGTTAAGGCAGACCGAGGGGGATCCCCTTGGCAAAAGTAATGCGTGGGATCCAGACTAGACGTGACCCTGACCTAGGCCGACGCCTGTCGTGTTAGTTTGAGCTTGGCCTGTCACAAGCTCCATCATGCCTTCCGCCTCAGCGTGCTTGTATGCCCTATACTTGGACCTTGTCAGTCATGTAAATGAATGCCGAAAAGTTTTTAGATTATGAAAACAATGACAACTTGAAGTTTGGATGAACGAACCCCTCTATCCGTCAGTTTGGCCATTCAACACGTTATCCACAATGCCCATTAAAATTTCTAGCAATTAAAAGTAGGCCTAATTGCAGGAACCTGCCTAAGAAAAAAAATTGTTACTATATGTAACCCTCACCGAAGGAAGTACAGGAATACTGTTCCCACTTCCATCATTGGGGCCTCAGCTCATAATTGACTGAGCCTACTGCCACAAACATGAGCTCAGTATAGAAATACAGGGCTACTTTATAATACATTTTTTCCCTTCAAATAGAAATCTTAGGAAAAGGCGCAGACTTACTTTGCTTCATTACCACTACTTATGTGGAGTATATGTTATCTATTGCCCATTAGTTGAGCCCTATTTGGAGCCTGTAAAAGCTGACCCAAGAAAGGACAGGCTGGAGCAATACAACTTCTTCCATGAGGTGCAACCCTTTTATGAGGTCTGTGTGTACAATCAAAGCCCTGAATGGGGTGCTTTTGCTGACATTGCTTAAAACTTCTCTTTGAACCCCTTGATTCCTTGTACTTTGAAAAAAGTTGGGCCTAAATACTGGTTTTTATAATCTAATGTGGGACCTTCTGCTACATCCTGGGAATGGTTTACTTTAAGTTATTGACATTTACTTCTGAAGGAGTTACTCGCATGGTTATTTGTAAGTGAGGAGGAGAAATACACAGATATCTGGGTCCAAGTAGCCCAGGCATGCATAAAGCTGTTTCCTTGTATTTTTTTTTCTTTTTGAAGTTTTGGTTTCTCCTTAAATGATTGTGCTATACTCCTAACCCAGATGTTGAAGGAAGGCTTTTGGTACATGAAGTTCTGGGAAAAAGGATAAATGGTATACATTACAGAGCTTTAGAAATCTTGCCCAGTTACACAGGAGATAGGGAGGATGGACCTATTTTGTTGTTTAATCAATCAATGCCATTGTTGTTAACCATTACAATTTTTTCCAGGTTACAGAGTTGTCACATGCAATCTTTGCACAAAAACATTCCCTAGGAAAGTTGACCTCTTGGCTCACATTGAGGCTTGTCACAAAGGCAGTGAAGTGTGCCATTTATGCTTCAGTGTCTTTCCCCCATCAGCTGCAGCAGAGCTTGGAAGCCACATCCGTAGCACCCATTTGGACTTGTGGGACAGACGCATCCGCAGTAGGAGGCACAGCTGGAGGTGCCAACAGTGCAAGGGGGTGTTCTACTTTGCTAGGACATTCGAGAAGCATTTGCTAGAAGAGGCCAGGGTGTGCCTGCCATCAGTGCTCATAACTCAAGAAGAAAGACTTGCTTGTGAAATTGAGAAAGTAAAACCGATACTATTGGATGCAGTGTTACAAGAACCTGTGGTGGCATTTGAAGAAGAGTTAGAAGAATTGGAAGTGGTCTTCTGTGAAGTATTCACAGACAAAATGGAGAAAGAGGACAAGAAGATGGAAGGTGTGACAACCCACATTAAGGAGGAAGCCATGCTGAAGATTGAAGAGGCAAAGCTCTCCACCCCTCACATCAGTGACTCGGGTCCGCCCCCATTAGTGTCAAGAACAGATCCTCCACTTCACCCACATTCTGCAGCATCTGCTGCCACAAATGGAGTGAGAGTGAACATGGACAATGTCACGGGTGGACCAATGATCACTCAGCAGTCCAGTGGGTTCTCAGGCATTGTCAACCATGATGGCACAATCCACTCATGGGATCAAATGGGACCATCAGTGCTCTCTACAGCTCCAGCGTTTAACCCAGTCCCCGAGACTTTACAGGTGGTGTCACAACCTGGAAACAGTCAGATGTTTTACACCACACCAATGCTCAATACTGTTCATGCAGGAAGTGCGATTGCCACTCAAGTGCCATACATGAATGGTCCAAGTACTGTGTCTCCTCTTCGATCTATTGAGCAGATGCAGCCTCAGATCACATCTCAGTCTTCATATGACATCTCTCTACAGGTCAATACTTGCTTTTTTCTAGACTATTGACTTCGACTGCTAAACCTGTGATGGCCATGTCACAACCTTCATTTGCTACCAAATGGTGCTTTTTAATCAAAAATTAGAACTTGATGGTGTGGACAGATTTTCCTAATGTAAGATTTTAATAATTTGATCTTAATGCCTTATGGGGAAGGAATTGCTTTGTGAAGCATGGTTGACCAATGCACTTCCTTGTGGTGTAGGAACTGCATTGCCTTACTGATTAAGTGTATGTTTTGCTTTTTTGTGAGGAGCTGCTTGAAATGATTTGATGCAAAGCATATGGCTTGCATGTGCTGTTTATGCTCAATCATATCTTGGGCTTTTCCTTTTATTTCCTTTTGTGTTTTTTTCAGTGCTTTACTGAATTTAAACTGAAAAACAGCCAGGATTTATTCTGATACTGTCAAGTCATTCATTTTTTTAGCATCAATCAGCAAAAAAAAAAATGTAAAACTTTTATACAAAATAAAGTTTGACTATGTCTCAATAAAATAGTACTACCAGATGTTTTATTTGTAGTGCAGATCCTAAAGTAATGGGTTAGCTAATGTGAATCTATGAAGTTGTGAACCAAGTCTTTGGCATTTGGAATCTGATGGCTGAGCTGTTCATCTTCCACTGTTGAAATGGGTTGTGGTTTACATAACTCATTGCATTGTCTGAAATTTCCTAATGCTGACATTTGATCCTGGTGATCATCTTGGGTGACCTTTCCTGGGAATTTATTCTCCTCTTTTTCATGTTACCATGCATAGCTGTTCTTGCTTTTACTCTTATGTGAACTTTGTGTTTTTTTTAACCATTTCAGTGTAAGGTATAAAACATGTTCCAAAAACATACAAAGCATCCCTTAAAATTACCTGCTGGTACCATGACAAACAAGTGGAAAAGTATTGTTTTAAAACACTGGCACACACAAACACACCGTGACTAAATTATCCTTTTGTTTTGTAATTCTTTGATGTGTCCTACTTTATAGTATGCTATTATTGTCCTGAACTGAATGCATTCAAAACTTTGCTAACTTTTTTTTTTCCACAGCAACAAGTGCCTTTATCGGTGCAGCAATCCCATCCGCAGCTACAGCAGGGGTCACAATTGCAACCTTCTAAAGATCTCAACATGGCCATCATCTATCAACCCCGCACAGCCTCTCCACAGACTGGAGCGAGGATGCCCATTCCCAGTAGGGGTGGCCTGGGTCGTCGACCGATTCGTGGTCCAGTCATCAACCGTGGCATGCGGGGACAGGTATGCATGTTTTGCACATGAGTGTCATTCATTTACCGGTGCTAGTAATGCAGTTTTTATTGATCTGCGCTGAAAGTTTTCTCTTTCCTGTATTCTTGGTTGTGGTCTGGTTCTACTGCCCTGCCATCTCCTCAAGTTTTCTCATGGCTCTTCCTACTCTCATCCCTGCTGTCATTGTTTTGGTCCTCTTACTGTCTCCTGGTTGGTGCTAGCTGCTCCCATTTGCTTGCCTTACCCTTTGGCCAATCTTGTCCAAGAAACTTATTCATAATACTGATTTGAGACTACTTAGCCAAATTTTTTTTGTTTATACTTAATTACTTTTATGTAATTGCTATTGACAATTAATTTTGTACTTGCACATTCTCTACTGTCTTATTTCACCTCAGGTGTCAAACTCAGCACCTTTGTAGCATTGTGCTTTACCTTTTCTTCTCTGGGCGAAATTCTAGATGCACTTTTTATAATTATTGGTGTCAGCATGCCAGAATAACTTTTTGTGGTTTTAACGACTGGAAAGTCATGGCATTGACAAAACCCACACGGATCAGGAAATACCAGGGTGTGTTAAAGAAACTGATCTCAGCCAAAACAGAATCAGAACTTCTGCTTTCAGTGTGTTTTTGACTTACTGGTACCCTGCTATTCACCAGCTTAGGGTTAAGTGAACAGGTTGAGGCTTGCCTGCTCTGTGTGCATAAGACCAGAGTAAGGTTTTAACTGGACTGAAACATTAGCAGAAAGTGTGTCACTACCTCATAGTTTAGAAAATGTTACGAGATAGGGTAACTTGGTGGAATATGGCCATTGGGCTAATATTGCCCTTCACTATGAATCCCTTAGCACAATGAATACTTAGTTTCAGCGAATTTGGAAAATAGTAATATCAAAGAGTACATGCAATTGTCAAAATGTTTAGACCTGTTCATTGATCCGGTTTTCACAGGAATTTGGGATACATTGAGGTCTTGAAAGTCATATGCTTCTGATTCTTCAACTCGTGGACCTGAAATTAAAAATATGGCCCTTGTGCTACTTAAGTGTATATTTCCTAATAGCAGCATGGATACAGAAACCATTTTTACAAAGTTATTCTATGGTCCCTCCTGAATGCTAGTGGAACATGCTAGCCCCTCCTCTTGTGGTATATAGACAGTGTTGTCAATTTTGTCATGCAAACCAATATTTGGGAATATGACCATCTTGATTTGGGGTAATATGAACCCATCATTTCCTGGTAGCACTGTGCTGACCTAATGGTAGTGTTAACTTCCTTTCATGTGGCCATATTCCCCAAGCAGGTGGGGTAATATGGCCTCTTGGGACCAACTTGGAAATGATACAAAGGTGCAATATCCATTGGGTTTTTTTCATATGTCTTGCTGGGATTTTGGAGGAGGTAAAGGAGATATCAATCTACTTTAGAAACATTGCAAAAGTCAAATTTGACGTTGATGGGTCATTATGACCAGGTTTCATTTTGTAGTGCCATATTTCTCCAAATTACCTGAATGTGAAAACTTTGAGAAAAAAGAAAATGAAGTATGAACACAGGTGGAAATGACAAGGAAGGGGAAAAAATTAGTTATTTACTTTGGAGTTATTCCTCAGGGAGAAGACCAAATGAAAAAAAAGAGAGGACAAGGAATAAATTGCAGGACTTGGCATCCCTGCATCAGAGCAAACAACTGCTCATGCCAGATTAGGTGTATCGGCTTGTGTCTTGTGTCGCATTGTAAATAGCATGAAAGTGAGATAAGGTAGAATTGGATAGAAAAAAAACATGGTTTATAGATAGCTATGTTTAACTAAGATAGTATTCACCAAATAGTCATAGCTTTTGGTATGCTGGTTGATGGAAACTAGTGGTGAGAACCTCTGAATCCTTAAGTTCATAGCTTAATGGACTAGTCTATTGAGTGCCTTGGTTCCTGGTGAGAAGTGGGTGCATCAGGCCTTTCCCGTTTTTGAAAGAGTGGCTGGAGTATAGATAATTGCACAGAAGGTGTTTGAGTAAAATGCAAAATGGGTAGGACCTAAATGTTTTGTAAATCATTAGAAACATTAACACATCCACCACCCTCATTACTGCTGGGTTTTAAAGTTAGTCTTCAATGGCCAAATCTTGGAAATTGCCATGGGAGATGGGGGAGAAGAATTTTACTTTCATAAAATTTGTGCTTCCACATTTTTTGCTATTGCCCATCTATCATGTTCATGAATTGGTAAATTTTCTGCTTTTTTTGTGTATGCAGAAATTCTCATTTTTAACCCTAGCTCTCTTGATGTTGAGCCCAATACCATATGTGGATTTGTCTGGGTTTCTTTTCTTGCTGTGTTTGTATTGTGTTCTATATAGTTATACAGATGGGTAGTATATTTTGATATTGTATTATGTCTAATGGCTCATGAGTTGATGTTTGGAAAGCTATGAGAGCATGGCAGTTATGCATTTTTTTTGGCAAGTTGTCCATTTCCTGCATATGATTTTCTACTTCTTACAGGACTGATTTTTGGAAAGTCATTGTCTTTCTTTAGTACTAATTTTGAGGGTGTGCTTATAGCTTAGACTTTTTCTTCTCCTTTCCAATCTGTTTTCTTCCCACTTTAATTACCCTCTGAAGAATTTATTTGCGTATTATCCCCCAGTTGAATGAGCAATGGATACTGGCAACGTGCAAAGAGGTGATAGAATGATTTTATAGATTGTTGGTTGACTCGTGGGTTTTAGTGCCAATATCATGTATGTATCATCCTTATTTTGCATTTAGTTGAACCTTACCTGAATGGCTATTGGCAAAGACTGCAAGGTTAGGGCTAGGGCTGTCATTTCATGTAGTGTTTTCTTCAGGCCTATATGGTTTCAAAAATTAAATGTGCTTCATGAACTGCTTTTGGGTGTTAAGGTGTTAAGCTGAATGTGGTGCTGTAATAAGGAAAAGCATGGAAAAGGCTGAGAAGCCTCCTTTGCATTATACTTTGTTGATCCATTTGACTCTAGTTGCTGTAGTCTGCCTTCTCCTCCTTTAATCTTGCATGAGACATGCCCCATCTATTGCAAACATTGCACCAGTCTCTGTTCCTGTTAACAATATGGACCTTTTTCATGGCATGGTTTCAGTATTTTCTGTCACAATTTTTAGAGACCCAAATCTAGGTCTTCTGCACCTTTCAGCCTCCTAGGTTTCTATTATGTTACATGTGCTTCTTTTGCAGGCCTTTAACCCTAATCCGGGCAAGGTGAGTCCACTGGACTCACTACGACATATTTCAGTTTATTACTGTCATTATTTTTTTAAACTATCAGAACCATTGAATAAATTGTCTGTATTATTTTAGTTACAGTACTGTTATTTATAAGAATGCATACCGTAACCGCAGCAAACGGCCTTATTTTACATGAGTCTGACAGACTCACCTTGCCTGGAATAGGTTGTAAAAAAGCTTGCCCGGATGAGGGTTAAAGAGCACTCTCTGCAAAATGAGCCTATGGACAGAACTTAGGACTTGTGTAGGATATGGGGTTGTAGAGTTGTTTTGTATTACTTTTTTTTGGAATTTTGGGTCACTGTGATTGCCAATAAATTACCAGTAATTTATTGGAATACCAATTCACACACCCCCCCCAGTAAAGGAAAACAATTAAAATTACATGAAGGAATAAGAGACATCCCAAAATCTGCTGCAGCAAACAGAGTGTGAGACAAATTTCGACTCTTAATTGAATCTAACAAGAAATCGTAACGTGTTTGGACTGTGTGCATTTTCTTCTTGAATGGCATATTTAATTCCAAACCTTCAGTTTTAAAACATAAGCAAGGATACTATGAAATATATTTCTGGAGTCGCTCGAATTGCTTTTTCTCATAAAATGTCTGAGGTATCTGGGGTTGTTTCGTTGGTATTGCATCGTGACATGAGATCGTAACGGCATTCGGTGTGTCGATTCATTTCAGAGCGCACCCATGCGAGCAAGGCCCCAGGTGTCCCGGAGCCCACGAGGACGTGCCATGCCCATCCGTGGACGCTTCATGGCGCCGCGTCGGCGGGGCATGATGATGCCCATGCCCCTCCGTGCGGTCCCCGATCCGGACGTTCAGATCATCGGGCAGAAGCGGGCGATCCTCCCAGTGCAGAGCACTTCGCCGCGAGGGAAGGCGCCGCCGCCGCCGTTCAACCTGGGTGAGAATGTGACTTTGACGTCGGTGAATCCGGCGGTGGAGTCGCCGCAGAAGACTCCGGAGAAGCCGCCGTCGCGCATGGCCTGCATGCTGGCCGATCGCGGCATCACGGTGACCCCGACCGCCAAGGACATCGGGGGCGGCCTCAAGATCTCCTCGCTCGGTGCCGATCCCGCGTTTCTAAGGGAGCCGGGGACGCAGCTCAACGACTCCCCGGTGTCGATACGGAGCGAGTGCGGTCTCCCCGTGGTGGACACTCGGGACCCGGGGGTGATGCGCATGATGTCGCAGCACGGCATCACGCACGGTCTCAGTGTGGCGCACATCATGCCAGGAGAGGAGGGGAAGAGCCTCGTCGTCCCGGTTGTACCTCTGAACGCGGTGGCGCCGACCGTGCGAGACGTGGCCGAGTACTTCTTCCACTGTGGGCGGCTTTTGGAACTGCCCCGCCCGTGATCGGGTGCGATCAGTACACTTAACATATGCTGAAGATTCTCTACTGAAGAATCTCTATCGAACTGTTGATCTTCAATTTTTTTTTCTTTTCAAGCTTATTCTACCAAAGGACAGACTTCAGTGGACTTGTTTTCTTTGACACCTACTTGATCGTTCCCTCCAAATTCCCGAGAAGTGATTTTTCATCCTTTTTTTGCTGTCAACCACTGATTGTCTAAACTTGTTTACCAGGAATATCTCTGGGATAAACAAGATTGTTTGTGATTTCCAGTCATAGCCTAGCATTCAAGGAATGATACAATTTTTCTATGATTCCAGATGTTCCGAAGAATATAATCAGTTTTGAATCATTTGCATGTGTCAGTCACCTTAACCAATGCAGACTGCAATTGTCCAAGGAAATTCCTTTCAATCTGTTCCTGGAAGTCCGGTCGACTCGCGTTATAACGAAGGTGATGAAGCCACTGGAATTATGTTGGGTTTTTGCTATATCAGGATTGAGTCGTATCTCCAATTAGAGAACTGAATCCCGTTGTGCCTGTGAATACATGATTATTATGAGTGCATTGCGATGGCCCGACTGCTTTTGAGGGTTTCATGGACGACAGTACTTTTAACGCCTTCGCTCCCTCATATTTGTCAGTGGGTCACGTGGGATTGTGGCTCAAGTGTCTGAAAACGGCAGCTGACGTCTTAACCCTTTCGCTGCGGAAAGCGACTTAGGTTGCTTTCATTGCCATTGGCTGCGTGCCGATATCAATTACGCAGCGAAAGGGTTAAATGTGTTAAAGCCACTGCCGTGTGAAAGGTGTAGACCTTCCGAAGCCTTGTAAAACGGAACTCGCACGGGATGAATGGAGCAAAGGAGCGCGGGCATTGAATCGCCCGTGTTTACCTCCCCTGCCGCACACGCATTCACCCACTCACATTCCCCCTATCACGCGCCAAATCCTTGGTTCTCAAAGGCCGTGCAGCTGAAGACCGGGGTAAAGGGCTGAATAGAGATAAGGACGGACCCTTTTTGCACTTCCGTCAATAGGGAAATAAATTATTTCCTTCTGGAAGGGGAAAATTCATTGTCATGCATATTTTCGCGCTGGGGACAAATTATTTTGTTATATTGGATATTCCTTTATATCCGATTTCGTTACATACGAATTATTCTTTTTTTTTTTTAGCATGTTTGTCTGGAAACTCGACCGGACAACGTCAAGGATTTCGGTGTAACTGATTTTTCGTTATATCGAGAGTTGACTATCATTTCTGAGAACTGAAATTCTTGCCCGAGTTTTGTCCCTTGTTGAGGGGTGAGCAAGCTTCATTGAATATATCAATTTAGTTTGGGCTCCAGATAAGTGCTATTAGAGGTCACAAAAAGGTTACTAAATCAACAGGAAAACAATTCCAGAAATACGCAATCATGCAAGAAATAGTGAATGTGTTGTGCTGTGCTTATTTTTTGGTGCAAGGTAAGGACGACACCATTGAAAGAAATACTGTTATTCACACGTGTCTGGTTCCAAGATGGCAGATAATTGCAATGTATTCAACCCATGCAAAAAAGAACCAGAGGCAAATAATTTATAGGTTCATTCATCTGGGAAATAATTACTTGTTCCCTTTCGGCCATTGACATGACTTCTCAGCACCTATTGAATGCTATGAGTATAGAGAATTTATTTTAGTCAGCATATTTTCTTTCAAACCATTGCAAAAAAAAATTGTTAAAAGTGACAGGTGGAGATGAATATGCAAGACACTAACTCTGGGAAACGATATAGACCTGCAATTAGGTTAAATAAAATTTGCAAGCATGAGGTACAGAAATATTCCACCCTGAAGCACCACCATTATCGATGCCATCCTATGAAGTTCCCATTAATTTAAATTTAAAGAAATTCTAAGAAGAATTCGGAGGAATTATAATTGTTAATTTCTTCTGGTTATGTTTAGAACCATAACTATGCTTCAGATGCCAGCAATACCTGATAATGTGTAAATTTTTTATGATTTAAAATCGATTTTTTAATGAGTCATTTATGAAATGTGGCCTGGCCAGGTGTTGCAAAGAAAACTAGGGCTTACAATTGACCTTGAGATGATTCATCTTGAATTTCTGAAGCATGTCCTCCATATTTCAACAAAGACTTACTTCCACGAAGTTCGAAAGTTAGAAATGACTTGCACTAGCATATCAGGCAGACTTTTAATACCTTTTTGCAGAGTTTGCAAGTATTGAGAAAAACGCTGCAAAAAATGAATCGGATCTAGACCAGATTTAATTTCCATACACATCACAATTGAGATCAGGAATGCATTTCATCACACTTCCTCAAATACAGCCAACAAGAATAAAAAACTCCATCTCAGCATCAAACTTCATCATAGCAAATCCCTTTTCCTTCCCTCTAAAAATGAAATACTGCAAGCAACTCAATTTTCAGGCAAATTTTTAAAGTTCACAAGGCAATAAACCGTCTGCATCGTCCTCTCCGACACGGCATCCAGAAGAAACGTCGTGGCTCATCCCTCGGTGCTTGAGGCATTGAAAACAGTTATAAAATACTGGTTTAAAAAACTTCATCTTTGAAGGTACTGCATGACTAGGTCTGAGCCAAAGTGGCAAGAAGTTTGGCAGTTCCTAAGGCCTTCTTGGGATATGCTCTTCAGTAAAGGCCCAACCATCACCCTTACTAAGGTATCCCAAACGACTCTCACGCGCGGAGCGGGTCGACGAAAGCCAAAGGCATGAACGTGGCAGTCAAAATGAGAGGTTACCTGAATATCTTGAGTTGGCATCATGTAGTCGCATTCAAGTGTTCTCTATTCCCTCAACTAGAATAAGGAAGCATCTAACTGCAAAAGACATAAGGTACCAGCAAAAAAAAGAATTTAGGCCTCAATTTCACATACACTACTATCTAGGTCTAGAACACACAAGTACAAATAGGCATTGCAAAAAAGTGGAGCAAGTGTAACTATTCTCATTGTCAAGGGAGACCAGTGAATAATTCGTTGCAATTTGCATGCTTCCGAAGTTCTTCGCATGACTTTCAACATTGAAAGGTATAAACATGATTTACCGAAGAATGTTTCCCCCATGGCAAGACTGTCAAGGCAATTCAGGGGAAGTCACATCACTGCTTTGGAAGCTACACCAGTCTACCTTGACATGACACTATTCAATAGACCAAAAACAAAAAACACAAAGCTTTCACCGGGAAGTACAAAGACCGCTAAGGCAAGTCCATGCTCATGATGGCACGGGAAATGGTTCGTGCGATTTCTAGAAGCAGAAGTTGGGGAATTCTTTGGCAACAGTATCAATGCCTTGTCCAGCAATTGAATGATTGAGGGTTGGGAATTCATGAAAAGTTAATGAATTGGCTGAAAGAGCCAAGAGGCTTTAGAAGGTCCTGAATAAATAAAATAAATATTGCATATTAATCAATTCAAAACATTATTTTCCATAGACTGCCAACTTGCAAAATCCCTTAGATCTCCTTCTCAATTTCAAATCTCATAAAAACAGAGGCAACGTTTACCTCAGCTTCTCTCAACAGCCTGCTGTTATCAACAATTCAAATTGCCTCCCCATGCATTACAAAGCTTTTCGACACATCAGTTTTCTGGTATTGCAGAGATCTAAACTGAACACAAGCCCAGAGAGTGGAATAAAATTATTTTTTGCTGCTTTCCATTCCTGGACAAGGAATATTAATGTACTACTCACTATGCTCATCAATAACACAGTTCCAGGGGAATGACATTCATGCATGCCATGCTTCTCAAACAATTCTCGGTGGGCAGCAAAGAGCAGAATGCAATGATGAACAAACTGGCAGTGAGTTGTTGCAGGCATCCACAGCATTTCTTTGACTGATTCCTGATGAGCGTAACAGCCCTGTGTGCAAGGTGAAACTCTGCAGGTGATGAAACATCACAGTCCATACAGAAGCAGAGGTCCTTGCACATCTAAGTATTTGGAATCGATCATTCTTTTTTTTCCTGTAAGAGCCCACAATGATTCCAAAGTGCCATCAATATATGAAATGTACACAAGGTACACATAAATACAAAGATATTATTGTCGGTTCACATGTGCAAAATGTTACTGCTCTCTCAGATCTGAAGGATCCAACCAAGTCACTTTATATGTTCTATAGTGAAGCTTCCTCAACCATATCTCTCAACAGTTGACCCCTTCATCCCTCATGACCCACCCATATGCATCAAGGTGTAGTCATGACTTTGATACACCATGCACCAGGGTGTGTCATGCAGCTTTTATCAGTCACTGAATATCTGTGAAAAACAGAATTCCACAATAGGAGAGAATAATGAATTTAGTATAACTTCCCCCCCCCCCCCAAATTTGCAGTGCAACAGTGGTACAATAGCATTCCTGACTGGTGTGTTCAATGAGTGACTTAGCTACTGATATGAAAGGTGCAGCATATTGGTACAGGTGAAAATTTAAAAAATTCCAAAGATGACACATGGCACCAGTATGGGCTCAGGAAAAAAAGAACCCTTTGTACTGATATCCCAGAGCAGGGGAAAGGTCCGGTCTAGACCGGGAGCCCAGGGAAGAATGGGGTGCGGGCGAAGCTGCTCAGGTGAATGGGGAGTTTGAGGGCAGGGCGATCTATGCGGATGCGAGGGCGGAGGCGAGACAGGGTGTCCTCCGTCACTCCACGGCAATCGTCCACCTGCAGCGACTTCAAGGTGAGGCAGTGCTCTCCCACCAATCTGCATGACACCAAGTTAAGTGACAAGTTCATGATTATGAGACATGTATTTCATTGTGCTGGTTACCCTACAAACTTTTTCATGATCCTGACAGACAAAAACTGAAATTTAAATGAATAAAAAGTGATAAAGTGAGTATGATATAATAATAAAAAATACCTGGTGCATCCTCGGGAAGTGATTTATCACCTTTCTAAGACAGGAAGCAGCACGTTTTTTAGGTTTTAAAAAGAATCTCCATCATGCCAAATTTCATCAGGAAAGTAAAATGAGAAAGATGAATCTATCTGCCAAACTCCTTCCTTCTTGAATTCATTACCTTCATCAGATTTGATCTTTTGGCCACAAGGTATTTCTAGCAACACAAAGCCAGGACACTTTGATTCTCCCATATTGAAAAATCACAATTACATTCTTGGCACAAACATATATAATCATATATCTGAAAGAAATATTTTCTATCAATGTTTGGTACAAGTTGACCAGACATACTCATTCTTCTAAAGCACTTCATCCCTAGATGACTCAATTAGGAGAAATAAAGCACACCATACATGGAAAGCAGAAAGGAGCTTCTCAAGGTAGAAACTTCAAGGTAGAAAAATCAAGGCACTACCATTATTTGGCATCATTCTAGATAGCTGTCTGCTTTCTCCTTGGATAAGACAATTCTTTAGCAGTTATATTGGGATAAGGGGCATTGGAATGGAAGGGACTGAAGGCTGACCTGATGCCATGATTAGTGATCCTCCAACATCCACTGAGAGCCAGGTGTTCCAGGTTGGGGCAGTACGATGCAATGGCTGACAGCAGCTGGTCGGTCAGGCTGTAGATTTTCGACACAAACAGCAGCTTCATCCTGTAACCAAGGAAATCCACCCTCATTTTCCAGTCCAGACTCATCAGATTATCATATTCATGCTTACTTAAAGAAGATTTCACATTCTCATTTAATTTGAGATGTAAAAAACTGGAATGTCCTTCATCCAAGGCAGTTTAAAATACCATCCAAGCAAGGCATGCAAGGCAATGGAAAAATCATGTACCAAATAAATAATAAAAAGCTGCAATGAAGCTCAAGACCAGAAAATGCCGTAATTGCTACTGCAAGGCGACAGAATTCCTTTGTCCAATCTTTAACAAAGTGACCCTGACCTGCGATTACGACAGAGGATCTTGGCGATGGGGGCATCTGAGAGTTCCCAACAGGATGTGACATCTAGTGCCTCGAGGCCCCGTTGATGAAGGGCTATCACCTCCACTGCTCCTGGGGTCAGCCAATGGCAGTTCCGCAGATGTAGGCTCTTTAGACCCTACCATGCCCAGACATCAATGCATTTGGAGTAGACATCCAACCAAAATGGTTGATACCAATCTACCTGCCTATGCTAAAGCATGGAGTAGAAACAACCTTGTATGTAGATAATCAGTCTCATGCACAAAACCTGGTCATTCCAAATTTGGTGGGAATTGAAATACTCAAGCACTACATATCTCGATTTTCTCATCTTATCCCTTTGTGCTATAAAACTCATTTGTATAAAGTCTGCTTGCACAGAAAGCACAAATTTGGTACTTGCTTCAGTAATGTAAAGGATGGACTTATCTCACATTAGAGAGAGAGATATCAGAGATTCTTGCAGCACGTGAGGCTAGAGCATGAGGTTGAGCATGGTACAACTGCTGTGCTTTACACTCTTTATAAGAGTACGGGAGATTCAAAAGCTTTTATATTTAACCATATTTGTTTTCAGGCTTTGACTTTTTAAGCCTTCCACACCATGGCCTTCATCTTGAGCCTTCATATCTATTACCATCAATGAAGATCATATGCACTTCGGTCCAAGCAAGATCTCATTTATATCTGTCATGTAAGCAGAAGTGCGATAGAAACAATTAACATGACCCTCTTTTTGGATAATTTTCTTTTAGGCTGAATTTTCCAATGATTCTGATTTGGTGAACATATTGTTTGGCCCATGAATGTAGGCCTTCCCTTCAGATTCTGGTGAAGGCCTTACCTTGCATCTGACAGCAAGGACTTGAATCGAGGCAGGTGTGAGTGATGCGCAGGAAGAAAGGTTCACATGGGCGAGGAACTTGTTGGCCTGAAGTATGGGTTTCACATCGCCATCTGTCAGCCACTTGCATCCGGCCAGGTCCAGGTGCCGCAGATTCCCACATCTCCCGACGATCACCTGATCGCAGTCCATCGGATCCAAATGATTGTTACTTGCCATAGAAATTGGCTACATATATGCTGAACTTAGTCAGAGCAGACTTCAGGCATAGCTTGAACTTTTAATTATTCAATTGAGTTCATCTGTGTCTTAGGCATGGGAGGATGCATGCATATCCCACTGTAGACAAAGGTCTAAGACCACACTAAAGGGCCGCAATATGGGCGTCGGCCCTTCCGCTGCCTCATTCATAGTTATCTGCCCTGCTTAGGCCTATTGGAAGGAAAACAAATGTGATCCACACCTGGAAAGCAGGCAACGTGAGCCACTTAGAGATGGAAGAAGGCGAGGCGACTCGAGCCTTGGCTAGATAAATATCTACCAACTGCTTCGCAATCGTGCATGTCCTCCTCAAGGAAAAGAGTTCCCTGTAGGACAATCTCGGCAAGATCCACAAGAAAACGACATCTTCCCACGGGATGTCGAGCAGCCCTGGCCGTGCCTGCTCCACATCCATCGCCTCGCTCGGGGGAAGAACGATTCGAAACTGCCAAGAGATCAACGGGGAAGTTACAGCCAGAAAAGATTCCAAAACCGGACCCAGAACCCACACAACCTAAGATAGATCACGACGTACAGAGAGCCCATACTATAAAATAAGCATACTAGGCGTCCATATTGTACCTTGCAAATAGAGACCTCGATGGGGCCTGAGAAAGCACTGTGATCCCTCTTGCACCCGCAGTCTCACCATCATCCCGCGGGGCGGGATGACGGTGAGACCCAACTCGAGGAGACTTCTACCTGAATATGTCCTCCTCCGTCAAGTTCGCTGGGACAAGACTCCAATTGTATATATTATCCAACACTCGACTAGGACTAGTGCTTCAGAGCCGACACGCACGCAGTTGACCCCCGTACTGATGGACAGATGAAATAAGTGTTGCAAAAAATGATGTTCTTGCGAGCTAGGCCTTGGCGATATTTTGTCTAACAAGGTATCGCTAAAGGCCTAGCCCTATGTCTAACATAGGTTTACATTGACATCTTAAATACGTTTTCCACGAAGGCAGTAATTCTGTATGTCTGAGTTGACACAAATGTGAAAAGAGATTTCCACAGTGTCTAAATTGGCTGGCAGAAGCAAAAATTATCGTAATATTGAGATTTAAGGCCACAAGGACTCTCTCCAATGATCATTCCGTTGAAGTGCCTCGTTGGGATCGTAACGCTAAGTTCGCAGGTTCTTACCCATGAGTGAACCAACTAAATCCAAGTCATGATTGGCATTGAGTTCTCAGATTCTGCATTTGGATGAGTTCCTGAGGTGCCTAGAAGATAACATTTTCTGGCATTAATGCATTATGAAATAGTGGCTCTTATGACAGATGTAACCAACAGTTGACGAATTTCTCCAGGTCGACCGAGGCAAACAGGTCGTGCAGGTATATTTCTCCAGGTCGACCGAGTCAAACGGGTCGTGCACTGCCTCGGGATGACTCAGAGCGTCCCTCCGCCGATCCGTACCCCCTTCACGGATGTCACAGGCTACTTGTGGACGGCCCAGAGAGGACACAAGTGCGCCGACTTCGAGATCCGCTACATGGAGTGCATGGAGGCCTACGGGTATTACCAGGGTCGTGGCAAGTGCAAGGACTATCGTGACGACCTGGGAGAGTGCATCATGAGGTGGAAGCAGGTGGGCCTCCTCATAACTTTATTTACCTTCATAAAATTGGACTTAGTAGGATAGCATCTGATATCTTAGGCCAACATCTTAGTGGCAAATGAAGTTCTATGGCAGATGAAAGGTTTGATTGGGGATTCGTACAGGATGTTTCCATCGGGCTTCCATCCTTGAATGTATGTATTATGGTAAGCCTGAGATCAAGGGAGAGGTTGTTTCACTGTATTACTTTATGGATGGACTCAGTGGCTGTTCGCAGTGCTCAGTTTCTCATATGTGCAGTTCTTTCTACACCATTTTTGAGACTGATGGGCATTAATGCTCTATGCTTTCAACCTCCTGGCCACCTCAAGGTGGCCTGGAGGTGTAGAGTATAGAAAAACTAAACCAATTGTTGGTATTTCAAAGATAGTGTGATATATAGTCAATTTCAAGAAACAGAGCCTAAGTTCACCACAGAAACTTTATATCTAAAAGAAACTAATGGAACCAAATGCATATGCCACTTCTTGCTGCAGTGACAGCATTTACCATGCCATGCCATCATGTCATGGGCAATCTGAATTGCATTGCACTGGCTCCATCACTTCCATCAAAATTCAGAGGGTTTATGAGAAGGAAATGGAAAGTTAACCAGCATTCATGAAATTCAGGTCAATCTGTGCAAAAAATATTATCTGCTAAAGTCTTTAGCCAAATGAACAGTGTTTTCTTCAGAATCAGCTCAAAAGACAGGACTCAGGACCAGAGTTATTATCAGAACCTTTTCAATGGTTCTAATGATGTATCTGATATTAGGTACTATATAGGTACTATTGCTATTGATCCCAGTGATTGCATGAACTCTGAGCATGGTTTAAAGTGAAAAATTAGTCCTAGACCAAGGTGAGGTACAGTGTATTTTATCTTCCTAGCCCGACTTCAATCCCATCCCTGTCTATTTCAAGAATTTGGAGGGGTAGTCTGTTTTTTTTTTTTCTTTTAGCATGCTGTTGATGAAAGACTTGATGGAATAGGAGAGACTTCTTTTCTTCAAATTATGGAGCAGGGTTGCAAATTTGATGGCTGAAGTTGTAGATACCTTTCTAATGATTTCTCCTTGTGTGGCAATTTTATTTCTCTTAGAGGATCCAAGGGGAAAATGACAATGGAGTAGATAGAAAATTTTCTAGGCCAGCTCAATTTTCATGCAAGGTTGCATTTGCTGTGCCTGACGTCGTCCCTTGCTCCTCGCAGATGTTCCGCACCGACGCGATAAGGGCCTGGAGAAAAAAGAAGTACCAGGAGGGGAAGCTGAAGGAGAAGTACGCCGAGCCGCCACCTCTCGACAGCTACTCCCCTGCCACGTGAAGAGTCCCGATCCCGTGCCGTTCGGTTTAGATGCTCGTCGATGTCTCTTAGCTCATGCAGGGGTAACTATTGCTCCTGTCATATGGTTTTTGCTGTGAAATACAGAATGAGAATTGTCATGTACCCAGAATCCATCAAATGAAGTTGATCTGCAGTTATGGTTCATCCTGCATTCAAGTTGATTCAGTGGGCAATTTGGGGTCAGTGCAGGAAATATTTTCTATTGTGTTGCCAAAACGTGAGCAAAGCCTTTACAGGTTCTAATCTTCTAAACTATATGAAATTACCCTTCACGTGGGATTTTCACTTTTAATGGTACTAGGATTCCAATGTCTCATTTTCCATTCTTTATGGCTGCTTCGGTGATAGTGTGGAAATGGCTGAGAAAAAAGGAATACGGGAGAAACAGAAGCAGGTGGTAACATGGAGACCCAAAGAGAGCATTACCCGTGGCAGATTTCACTCCTTTTAGCAGTCTTATAAAATCAATTTTTATATTTGTATGACTTCCAGAACCATTCCCCAGCATTCTGACACTTTCACAAGCTAGAATTACCAATGAACTGATCCCTCGACCCCCTCTTATCAGCATTTGTCAACAGGGTTTCAACACTTCTCTTCATATGAGCCCCCCCCCCCAGCGATACCAAAGCCTATTTGGTAAAGAGGTGCTGCAGGCCGAGCCAGGCTCATGTGATACCTTTTTTATTATCAATATTTTGTTTGCTCATTTATATACTATGGATATTGAAAGACTGTGGGTAAGATCATATTTGTACTTGAATGAACAAGGATGCATGGCTCTCATCCTGTCGCTGGCTCTCCCAAGTCTCATGAGAGAGTGCTGGATGTTTGACTTTTTTGGAGGGGAGGCAGGGCAAGGAGTGCGAGATACTCAGTTGCCCCAAAGTGGAATCGGTCCCAAAGCAGTTTTCACCTTGGGTCCTCTTGGCCTGGACTCCGGAAATGTCAGCCCGAATCATATTTCTCCCTATTTCTTTTATGATTTTATCGACGTAGCAGCGACGGCTCCGAATGTGCAATAATGAGACCACCTTCCACGTCTGCGCGACAAAATTTGTTTTTGCGGTTGCCGACACTCGTCCCAAATCCGTGAATCACTTCTAACACGTATTTCTTGCACATCTTTGACATATACGATCGTCATTTTCTCGTTGGTCTCGTCGAGGCCACATCGCATTTCAACTTACGAATATCGTTTATGAAATGCCGTTACAACGCACAATCGTAGCATCCAACACGATTTTGGTGCAAAAGCAATGCGATGCGTTTGGAAAAAGTAAAAATAGTTCACGAATTGACTTTTAGTGAAGTCCTCATCTCCTTCTGACTACATACTGGCATTAAATTTGAATTAAAATTGTAAATGAAATGAAAATGTTGACAATTTTCCCTCGTATGAAATCCATTGCGACTGGAAGAACCATTACCGTCGAAGAGACTGTTTCCACAGGGGATGGGCCCTGAAAGTGTGACTTTCCCTCAAAACACCCCGAGAAATACTTGTGGGCCAAATTTCCACTTTCTCTCATGAATGCAGCATTCAATTAGCGTCAGTCAGTAACGATCGTTATGTTACATGACCAATTATCGTCCCTCAACCTCTACCTTCATTGATATGACCGTGACCTTGACCTTGACATTGACCGTGACCTCGACTGTGCCGGCGACGCGCTTTGTTTTGGATTTTTTATTGGCTGGAAATGAAAACGGGTTCGTCCCTAGCTCTTTCAGATAGCGAACTCAGGAACTCGTGAATTCCTTCTAATCGAACAACCCCGCATTGCAACGTTGAAGACGTTCAAAAATTTCTCAGAAAAATCAGAAACTCCCCATTTCGCCCAAAATAGTGGAACAGCGGCTGAAAACTTCTCCTGACGTTCGAAAGCGAAAATTTTCCACCGAAATTCGTCTAAAACGCATCCCGTTTATGCCCTAGTGAATCCCCGGAGTAAATATTCCTGCTACAATCTTTTCTTCGTATTTTCACGCACGTGGGCGAATTAGTTTACCGAGATTGACAAAATTGCCATCCGCTGGAGCGAGGCGTCCAAACACATGACAAAAATTATTTTATGTTTTATATATTCAGACTGCAATAAAATATTATAATATTCATGGCTAAACTTTTCGGCGCTCACACACCCCTTCCCCCCCTCTTTTGACATGCACACACGCGAACGAACCTACACCCACTCCGCGTCGCCGGTGGACCCGACTCACAATTCCATTCCAGGAACGAGTTTGTCTCGTACGAGGAGAGAGCGAACAGATGGATGGAACTCAGGAGTATGTACGAAGAACAAATGCATTCATGGACTCGTCTCGTTTCCAGGAAGCTTTCATGCCGTCCGGGGGGGTGGGGGGTGGGGGGGGGGGGGCCGGAGAGGGTCCCCCCGTAAACGAAATTACATAATTAATATGCAATTTATTTTGGGTGCTTGAGAAGTTGGAGAGGCATTGAGGGGGAGGGGGGAGACACTGGGTTCATATCTTGCAAAGAGCACCAAAAATCCTCGGTAAGGGGCTGGATAATGTTATCATGCATTTCTAGGTCTATTTTTTTTTTTTTTTTTACTTATTCTCCTGAAAAGTGGGTGGGGATGTGCTCCGACTTGCCCTCCCCCCCCCCCCCCCCCCCCCCCCCCCCCCACCCCCCCCCCCCCCAAAAGGGGGGGGGGGGGTGGCCCGACTTCCCCCCCCCCCCCCCCCCCCCGACGCAACGCCGCTGTCCTTCAGTGACGGGGGAAATGGCAAGCGTGTTCTGAAATCCGCTTCAATTCATCTGTTTTTTTTTTTTCGCGCTCCCGAGGAAACATATTTTTTTATTTTCTTGTTCCTCTTACGTCGAACCTCTTCTTCACCCTTTCGCTGCGGCGTTCTCAGCCGCGGATCGCACCTGCTGTGATAGTTTTTATTATCGCGCACTGCGGAGTTTTCGAGTGTGTTAATCAGTCGCAGCGAGAGGGTTAACCCTTTTACTTGCTGCACAGAAGTAAGGTATTTAATTATTTTGTGCCATATGAAACCTGAAAAAAAAAAACCAAGTATATATTGCATGAAGTGTTTGACTTTATTTGGTGCATTTTACCATTAAAATGCAAGGAAAAGTATTATTTCCGTTTCTTACATTCTTTGAATGACAATTGGAAGTGCCAGATCTCAAAATACGGTGTCACACAAAGACCTTGTAAAGACGGAAAACTGAAGCAGTAGTAAAATATTTCGCGCGGATCATCGAGGATATTTTTTTTTTCCAGACAGAATCGAATGCAAATGGACCGAGAAAGGAGGAGAGTACGCAGGGACGAAAAATGTGACGGCGTCGGGGCGTCCTTGCGAGACATGGAGTGCCGTCAAGGAGTACGAGTTGGTTTCTGTGGTGAAACTGGAAAACCTTACCGCTGAAAATCACAACTTCTGTCGCAATTTCAAATTGGACCAGGAAAGCCCATGGTGTTTCACGCAAGATCATCAGATACTGGGTAATTTGAAGATTGAAATTTGCGGCATTCCTTTCTGCCCTGTTCCTAACCTCAATTGACAGAGACAAATGCGGATTCACAAGGAGTTTATTTGCCCTTAGGCAATACCGCTTGCTATGATAGCATCTTTGGCATTTGGCACTTTGAAAAAATCAATAATTTGTTTGCATGTTCTAAGGAGTCGATATTTTATTTTTCGGGCTTTCTTCTTTCTGTGGTGTCAATGATTCTTGATAATGAAAAGCAGCCAATAGTCAGTTTGGGTGATTTTTTTTAAAAACCTTACTATATCAATACGTATACTTTTCTTTAAAAATCCTGGAAGTCTTAGTCTATCTGACTAAATCTCAGCTGATTATCCGACATTTTAAATATCCATCTCATATTTGCCCTTTAAATTTTCCCAGTTTGTTTGGTCCTTCGAAAACATGCATTTTTTTGCAGTTTTGGATTTCATCATTTTTGTGTAGCTGAAAAACTATGCGACGTTTGGGTTTGAAATATTCATCACATGATTTGTGTATTATGACATATGGCGTCCGGCATGCTTACTTGCGTACTGTTTAGGAGTTAAAAGTTAATATATATTGTCCCATGAGTACATTAGAATCAAAATTGTTTCATTTGTGCGTTTCCTTTCAAATTTATCGTGTTTTTCCTGAACAACAATACTGGGGTTCATAGCATAATTTCCTTTCATATGAGAGAGTCATCATTAAAAAAAAAAATTTTGATCGTTGAAAGAGTTTTTGGTGATGCTGTGTGTTCCTCGATGCCGGTTGGAAATGAATACAATGGGCATTCGTTGATGATGTGTTCCATTGCTCGGAATGAGGTGCCGCATTCCCACACTGGCGATTGTTTAATGCACCACTTGCACGTCAGATGTCCGGATCGATCACGAAGAATCCGTATGCGATGTCCAGAAAGAGCGCCTTGATTTTTGACGGGACGGGATAACCTCATCGATGTCGCCGTGGATCGGGAGAGACAGATTGGCCATGGTCTTGCTGTAATCGCGCAGTCACCATGTCACAGGGTTTCGGCAGGGGGGATGCTCGCGAGCACTGGGAAACATTGTCGAAGAGTCGACTTGAAGCATCCAGTTACCACTCGGACAGCAGTGTTCAGCTGCGGGTCGATTGCGTCTGTCTGGGCGCAGCGGGCCCACCCGAAAGCAGCCGAGTTTTTCAAGTGGAATTCTGTAACATCGGTCTTTTTTCCGGTTGCGACAGAGGCGCCATTGACGGAAGTAATCTTCCATCTTTTTTTGGACAGTTTTCACCTACCTCTTTGCAGTCGGACTGGCGTTTGTTTTTGAGCTCGTTACCAGTTATGCAGCGATGTTTGTCCGCCCTAACTTTCAGGATAATTTTTTCTGTGGGAGCTGCTCCACCAAGGCTCCGCAGGACATTCTTATGGTTAAGCTAACCTGACCTTTGCCTGGTAACGTAACGTAACGTAACGTGATCGTAACGGGAACTAATTCCTTTTCCTTTACTTTGGGTGCATAATTTTCGTGGAGACATCTTTATGAAATGTATTGTTCCAGTAATTCCAGTAATGAGGCAGATCGAAAAAGCTGAAATTCATTTAAGATTATGAAGAAAATATTATTCCAAGGAAATTCCTGCTTTTTTAGTTTCATTTCAACGCGGCAAGA